AACACCAACACACACACAAAAATTTATAACAGAGGAATGGATAAGTATAGCTTCGGGATGGATAAAAAATTCCATTAAAAAAACAAACAAATAAAATTCGCGCGATATTATCAAAAAAAATAATAATAAAATCTATAAAAAATAATAAAAAACAAAATAATAATATATATAATATATATAAAAAACATATATATATATATATATATTACCCATATCGTGCGGTATAAACCGCTCAGCTCTGGATTGGTTCTCATCGTATCTGTCATCAAGGACCCAAACGGTGAACGCTGGGATACATGGATCAGATGTTGCTAGTTCAGAATTGGCGCGAGGAGTTCAGCAAGGATCGGGTACTTGGTCCGCTGTCGTCTGTGTTATACACAGCTGATATTATTAAAGTCGTTTAAGAATCTGGTCTACAATTTCATTTATATGCGGATGATATTCAACTCTTTGGCTTCTGTCTCGCAAATTCGTCCTATAGTCTCAAGTCTCGATAAGTCTCAAAGACTCCTCACAGCCATCCCGTGCCCTTGATTTTTTCATCAAATTTTGTGACCAAATAAAATATTGTTATTGTTAAAATTCGTCGTATTATTTTCAACAAAATGTATCGACTTCGATTGACACTGTGGCAAAATGGATGTCAGCTAATAACTCGGCATTAAACGTTTTGAAAATACAACACATCTGGCTAGGTACGCTGCGAAGTTTGAGTTTATTGAATAATTTCGCGCCACCGGTGAACGATCTTGGCGGGATGTTGGATTCACGTCTGTCATTACTTCGACATTGTACATCATAGAAAGCGCTCTTGAGGTCTTTTCGAGAGAGGCACTATACAAACTTTGATACTAATTTATTAATTAATTATATGCAGTTAAATATTTATTAAAATTTGTGGTTTTGAAGTTAGATGGACAGAATGTTTAGGAAGAAAGAAGAAGACGGCTTCTGTTTAAGACGTACTAAAGATGGTGTTAACATTGATGAATGGTTGGCTAGGCTGCCTTGATGCCAGATATAAGATTCTATCTTTCATTCATTCCTTCGTTCGTTCATTCGCGCGTTTATTTATTTATTTTTTGTTCATTCGTTCGTTCATTCGTTCGTTCGTTCGTTCATTCATTCTTTTATTCTTTCATTCATTCAATAAATATTTAAACCTCTAATAATTTTTTGTTTGTTTATTCATTTTAAAGTTTTTCATTAATTCATTTGTTATTTGATCTTTCATTTATTCAAGAAAAGATTAAATCATTTACCCATCTATCTATCCATCCATTTATTCATTCATTCGTTCATTCATTCATCCATTTACGCGTTCATCCATCCATCCACCCATGCAATCCTTCATAAAATAATCACACGTTGACATAGCGTAATGCACGTCAGCAATAATAATAAACTGTGAAATGAAAATAAACATGATGTATGTATGTGTGTGTGTGTGTGTGTGTGTGTGTGTATATGTATGTATGTATGTATGTATGTGTGTGTGTATGTGTGTGTGTGTGTATGTATGTATGTATGTATGTGTGTGTGTGTGTATGTATGTATGTATGTGTGTGTGTGTGTATGTATGTGTGTGTGTGTGTGTGTGTGTGTGTGTGTGTGTGTATGTGTGTATGTGTGTATGTATGTATGTATGTATGTATGTATGTATGTATGTATGTATGTATGTTTTTTTTTGCAAAAAAATAATATTTTGTCAAATTCCCAATTCGGTTTCAGAGAGAAATTTTCTACAGAATTAGCAATCGTAGAACTAGTTCGCAAGATTGGCATCAATACTGAATGTAAGAGATTTGTCATTGGAACGTGCTTAGATCTGTCGAAAGCATTTGATTGCATCAACCACGACATCATGCTCAACAAGTTGGAAAAGTACGGTTTTAGAAATACATCACTGCATTGGTTTCGTAGCTACTTAACAGAAAGAAAACAATTTGTCTATGTGAAAGATGAAATTTCCAGTCTGCTCGGAAACAACAACGGTGTGCCTCAAGGAAGCATCCTAGGTCCTTTGTTATTTATATTGTACATAAACGATCTT